ACATTTGAATCATCTCCTTTTCCAACCATAGAGAGGCGTAACTTTTTCGTGCCAGACAGATACATGGCAACTCTTATAGCCAACTTCCAATCTCCCATTGTTGGCTGATGGGTCCTTCGAGATGCCTTATGCACCGCAAAAGCAATATCGGGTCTGGTGCAACGTGAAATCCATAGTAAACTTCAAACAATTGACTGGAATTTTTTTACCGTGACCCCATCTCCTCCAGAAACCGGTAATAATTTCAGCATAGCATTTTCAGCATCGTTCCAGTCCGAGGTAATTGGTACACGTACACCATGTTCCATTTCGAGACCGTGCTCCTTCAGCATGTCAAGAATTCCGACCTCTTGATCAAAATTGTACCCCTTTTCTTCCTCGTATTGGATACGCATACCCAAAAACTTACGAGCAGGTCCGAGATCCTTTACCGACAACATAATTAGCTCGCCAAAAAAATGTCCACGACACATTGATCCATCCTGTGACTATAAGGCCATCCACGTAAACTCCAACAATTAAAATGCGTTGTTTTTTCCATCTGAAATCGACACACATGTCCGTATGCCTTTAGTTAAAACCAATGTCAACCAACTTCTGGTGCAACAGTTTGCTCCATAGTATTCCTGCTTTTTTATCTCATAGAGCGCTTTCTTTAGCTCTAGAACCAATTCAATTTTCCATGAGACACCAAACTTGTTCTTTACCTCCTCCGATACGAGCATTCCTTGCGGAATTCGAATGTAAATGTCCAAATTTGCTTCCTTGTCTGCTTTCACGTAAGCGTTAGGTACGTCTCCATGTTTCGCAGGAACTTTCCATTTTCTAGCCAGAACGAAAATCATTTTCACGCTGGACATATCAATTACAGCCGCGAAAGCAGTTTCATAATTGACGCCAAGAACTTGCTCGTTTCCACATGCAACAAGTCTCGCCTTCAAGCGCTCGATACCACCTTCAGCATGACGCTTGGTCTTAGAGACCCATTTTGAATTCAGAGCCCGAACATTCTTTTGGACGCGAACGACATTCCAAACACCGTTGTTTTCCAGAGCTGTCAGCTCTTCCGCACCAGCCCGTCTTGTTAAAAGGTGAACAAAAAAGGACAACAATAGCACACACAATTTAGATACAAAAGACAGAGTGATATTTGTTTCGTTATTCCCCTAGCTAGCTCAAAATCTATATAATAGGATAAATCATATAATGAAACCCCACACAGGTGTTCGGCGTAAACATGATTATCCACAATCAGTCTGTACCAGATTAATGGATCATCATCTTGAAGCTTGCCTTCCAACAAACACGCCTGCACACGCCTTGGCATCCTACTTGATCCTTGCTCTGTCATCGTCGACATTTAATCGATTTAATTAAAACCGATCACTTATTGCAATTCATTCAATCTTGGTGCAGCCAATGCCTTGGTTAGTATGTCCGCTGGCATACTTCCGGTCTCTCGATATTCCGGTTCAATAATTCCACGTTTGGTGAAATCACCGACAAACTTGATGCGCACATCAATATGTTTGGCCTTGAACGAGGCCCTTTCACCGTCGAGTGCTTTAAAGCCTCTTGGTTATCCACTCGCAGTGGCATCGGCTCTTTGAACTCTAAATTTAATTCTTGTAACAATTTACGAACCCCCAAAAGTTTTCGAGCCATAATCGACGCAGCCGTAAATTCAGCTTCCATAGTCGAGAGCGAGACTCCACCTTGTTTCTTACACATCCAGCTCACCGGCATATTATCGACACTTATTAGACCACCCGTATCTGATTTTTGTCACACTTGTCTGCAGCAAAATCCGCATCGCTATATCCAAGTACTTGCAAAACATTTGAATCATCTCCTTTTCCAACCATAGAGAGGCGTAACTTTTTCGTGCCAGACAGATACATGGCAACTCTTATAGCCAACTTCCAATCTCCCATTGTTGGCTGATGGGTCCTTCGAGATGCCTTATGCACCGCAAAAGCAATATCGGGTCTGGTGCAACGTGAAATCCATAGTAAACTTCAAACAATTGACTGGAATTTTTTTACCGTGACCCCATCTCCTCCAGAAACCGGTAATAATTTCAGCATAGCATTTTCAGCATCGTACCAGTCCGAGGTAATTGGTACACGTACACCATGTTCCATTTCGAGACCGTGCTCCTTCAGCATGTCAAGAATTCCGACCTCTTGATCAAAATTGTACCCCTTTTCTTCCTCGTATTGGATACGCATACCCAAAAACTTACGAGCAGGTCCGAGATCCTTTACCGACAACATAATTAGCTCGCCAAAAAAATGTCCACGACACATTGATCCATCCTGTGACTATAAGGCCATCCACGTAAACTCCAACAATTAAAATGCGTTGTTTTTTCCATCTGAAATCGACACACATGTCCGTATGCCTTTAGTTAAAACCAATGTCAACCAACTTCTGGTGCAACAGTTTGCTCCATAGTATTCCTGCTTTTTTATCTCATAGAGCGCTTTCTTTAGCTCTAGAACCAATTCAATTTTCCATGAGACACCAAACTTGTTCTTTACCTCCTCCGATACGAGCATTCCTTGCGGAATTCGAATGTAAATGTCCAAATTTGCTTCCTTGTCTGCTTTCACGTAAGCGTTAGGTACGTCTCCATGTTTCGCAGGAACTTTCCATTTTCTAGCCAGAACGAAAATCATTTTCACGCTGGACATATCAATTACAGCCGCGAAAGCAGTTTCATAATTGACGCCAAGAACTTGCTCGTTTCCACATGCAACAAGTCTCGCCTTCAAGCGCTCGATACCACCTTCAGCATGACGCTTGGTCTTAGAGACCCATTTTGAATTCAGAGCCCGAACATTCTTTTGGACGCGAACGACATTCCAAACACCGTTGTTTTCCAGAGCTGTCAGCTCTTCCGCACCAGCCCGTCTTGTTAAAAGGTGAACAAAAAAGGACAACAATAGCACACACAATTTAGATACAAAAGACAGAGTGATATTTGTTTCGTTATTCCCCTAGCTAGCTCAAAATCTATATAATAGGATAAATCATATAATGAAACCCCACACAGGTGTTCGGCGTAAACATGATTATCCACAATCAGTCTGTACCAGATTAATGGATCATCATCTTGAAGCTTGCCTTCCAACAAACACGCCTGCACACGCCTTGGCATCCTACTTGATCCTTGCTCTGTCATCGTCGACATTTAATCGATTTAATTAAAACCGATCACTTATTGCAATTCATTCAATCTTGGTGCAGCCAATGCCTTGGTTCGTATGTCCGCTGGCATACTTCCGGTCTCTCGATATTCCGGTTCAATAATTCCACGTTTGGTGAAATCACCGACAAACTTGATGCGCACATCAATATGTTTGGCCTTGAACGAGGCCCTTTCACCGTCGAGTGCTTTAAAGCCTCTTGGTTATCCACTCGCAGTGGCATCGGCTCTTTGAACTCTAAATTTAATTCTTGTAACAATTTACGAACCCCCAAAAGTTTTCGAGCCATAATCGACGCAGCCGTAAATTCAGCTTCCATAGTCGAGAGCGAGACTCCACCTTGTTTCTTACACATCCAGCTCACCGGCATATTATCGACACTTATTAGACCACCCGTATCTGATTTTTGTCACACTTGTCTGCAGCAAAATCCGCATCGCTATATCCAAGTACTTGCAAAACATTTGAATCATCTCCTTTTCCAACCATAGAGAGGCGTAACTTTTTCGTGCCAGACAGATACATGGCAACTCTTATAGCCAACTTCCAATCTCCCATTGTTGGCTGATGGGTCCTTCGAGATGCCTTATGCACCGCAAAAGCAATATCGGGTCTGGTGCAACGTGAAATCCATAGTAAACTTCAAACAATTGACTGGAATTTTTTTACCGTGACCCCATCTCCTCCAGAAACCGGTAATAATTTCAGCATAGCATTTTCAGCATCGTTCCAGTCCGAGGTAATTGGTACACGTACACCATGTTCCATTTCGAGACCGTGCTCCTTCAGCATGTCAAGAATTCCGACCTCTTGATCAAAATTGTACCCCTTTTCTTCCTCGTATTGGATACGCATACCCAAAAACTTACGAGCAGGTCCGAGATCCTTTACCGACAACATAATTAGCTCGCCAAAAAAATGTCCACGACACATTGATCCATCCTGTGACTATAAGGCCATCCACGTAAACTCCAACAATTAAAATGCGTTGTTTTTTCCATCTGAAATCGACACACATGTCCGTATGCCTTTAGTTAAAACCAATGTCAACCAACTTCTGGTGCAACAGTTTGCTCCATAGTATTCCTGCTTTTTTATCTCATAGAGCGCTTTCTTTAGCTCTAGAACCAATTCAATTTTCCATGAGACACCAAACTTGTTCTTTACCTCCTCCGATACGAGCATTCCTTGCGGAATTCGAATGTAAATGTCCAAATTTGCTTCCTTGTCTGCTTTCACGTAAGCGTTAGGTACGTCTCCATGTTTCGCAGGAACTTTCCATTTTCTAGCCAGAACGAAAATCATTTTCACGCTGGACATATCAATTACAGCCGCGAAAGCAGTTTCATAATTGACGCCAAGAACTTGCTCGTTTCCACATGCAACAAGTCTCGCCTTCAAGCGCTCGATACCACCTTCAGCATGACGCTTGGTCTTAGAGACCCATTTTGAATTCAGAGCCCGAACATTCTTTTGGACGCGAACGACATTCCAAACACCGTTGTTTTCCAGAGCTGTCAGCTCTTCCGCACCAGCCCGTCTTGTTAAAAGGTGAACAAAAAAGGACAACAATAGCACACACAATTTAGATACAAAAGACAGAGTGATATTTGTTTCGTTATTCCCCTAGCTAGCTCAAAATCTATATAATAGGATAAATTATATAATGAAACCCCACACAGGTGTTCGGCGTAAACATGATTATCCACAATCAGTCTGTACCAGATTAATGGATCATCATCTTGAAGCTTGCCTTCCAACATACACACCTACACACGCCTTGGCATCCTACTTGCATCGCTTCTTCTTAGGTGTCAGAACGTATGTCCGGCATCTAAACACGTATATGTGCTTCACGCTTGGCTTGGACTTGTAGACAATTTCAAACGGTGTTTTGCTTGCAATCTTGGGTGATGGTAGACAATTCTTGATGTAGATCGCGGCCATTGCTGCTTCGTCCCAGAAGCACTTGTCCAGATTAGCATAGTGCAGCATAGTGCGACCAATCGTGACGATGGTTCGAATCGATCTCTCCGTTGTAATATTTGTCTGATGCGCGTAATGAACCGTGGTCTGCTGCTTAATTCCTTGGTCTTCGTAAAACGCCATGAGTGAGCTGGTTGCAAATTCACGGGCTCCATCGTGACGCACAAACTTGACCTTTTTGTTAAACTGAGCTTGAATTATCGTGATGTAGTTCTTGAGGTTATCTTCACTCTCTGACTTGGCGCTAAGGAAAAAGCCCTTCATGCATCCGCTTGCTTCATCTAAAATGAGGAGAAGATACTTGCTTCCACCCAGTGAAGTCTTCTCCATTGGCCGCAGATGTCGAAGTGGAGGCGCTCAAACGTGTGGTATGAAAGCTTGTCTCGGTTTCTCGGAAAAGGCTCTTGAACAAAGTTTCCTTGCTGACATCTACGGCATACCCTTGATCCACTCGAGCTTCATGGCACTTTTGCGTCCTTGATCATGTCACTGTTGACCATCTTGCGTAGCACGTCGATTGTAGCATGGCCCATTCTTGCGTGAAGAACACACTGCCTGCCGATGTTGTCGTGTTCACCGAACACTGGGGTGTGCGGAGCCAGTAAGTCCTTCCACGAGATCCTCCGTTGCCACCACTTGCTTTGACCTCTCCCGCATGATGTGCATGCTGTTACCGTCGAACACCACTTAAAACTTGCCGCTCTTGTTAATCTGCGGTACCGAGAGTAGATTCTTGGTCATGTTTGGCACGAACAGCGCATCCTTAATCTCAATGTCGCACTCGTTACCATTAGGCAAAACCACTCGCTCGGTGATGGCTCCTACAACCTTGATTGCGGCCTTGTTTCCGTCAGCCACCGATAGTTGACCTTCATCATGCTCATTCAGCACGGTAAACTTGGCCTTGTTGCTGCAGATGTGGTGAGTCGCTCCGCTGTCGACTTCCCACATCCTTGGCATACTTTTGTCTGTTGATAGTCCAGCTTCCAGAGAGACTACGAACCATCGTCGTTGTCGTAGTTGTTTCGCCGCTGGATACTTTTTGCTCCGTGACAACGGTTGCTACCGCCGCGTGGAGCACCTTGGTTCTAGCCCTTCTGTTTGGTTCAGCACTTCACCGCTGTGTGCCCCAATTTTCCACAGTACGTGAACTGACGAGGCTCGCGATCGCTACGATCGGCACTGAACGCCTTGGCCGCGTATTCAGTCTTCACCGATGTCTTCTTCTCGCCTTTCCTCTTGACGTGTTCATTCGTAAGTACTTTCACGACGTCTCGCGATCGCAGTTCCGTGCTGCTCATTTCCAAGTTGATAACATTCTCGAAGCTCTTTGGTACGCTGCGCAACAAGTAGGTCGCAACGTCTTCGTCCTCCATCTTGGCACCGATGATGGCGGGCTTCGCGCTGATGTTCAGAATTTCGTTGCAATGATGCATCACATTGCCGCCTTCCGCAATCTCCATACTGAAGAGATGGCGCTTCAAATAGATGCGCCCAGTCTTCTGCTATCCACCGTAGAGTGTCTTCACACGCGCCCACGCGACCCATGCCTCCTCGCAATCATCAACTACATGATGGTAATCAGCGTCCATGTGAAGCAACATCATTCCGAACGCGATGTTGTTCGACTTGACGTAATCGTCCATGCCGCGAGCGTCCGCGAAGGTCGGCGTCGTATCTCAGTTAACTACGTGCACACCGACTTAAAGAGGGACACGTCACGCATGTAGCGGCTCCAAGTCGTGAAGTTGTCTCCGTCGAACCTATCGATTGATACTTTGGAGGACACTTATTGGGTGGAGGACATCATACTTGGGCTCATAACCGGATGGAAGGTATGAGGCATGGGCGAAAAAGCGAAAGAAGGCGAAGAAAAGTCTGCACTTGAGGGTGAAGACGACTTGAGCTGAAGATGGTAGATTGGAAAGTGATTAATAAATAGGTTCTTATTCTGCCTACTAATATATATGCTGTTGTGGTGGAGTGGGTTCTCAAAAATGTATGATGAGACCCCAAACCACTAACTGTGCCGGACTGCCGACTGTCGGAGGGGGTACCCCGATGCCGCGTATGGACCTTCTCTCATCTTGTGTACCCGTCGGCTAGCGGGTTGCACTTTTCGGACGACTTGGTGAGGATGTAGACGTCTGCCTTGAGGGAGGAACACCTGGGGGGCCACGAGTGGATATGCTATACTCGGTGGGCCGGTAGGTGGCCACTCGATCGACCTTGTCGAGAGTGGCCTTAAAACCAAAATTCTTCAGGGGCGCTTATCCCTGGCCTTTTCCTTCTTGTTTCAGGGGTATCAACCACCTGACCTTTACTTTGCTCCCGGACCGTGAGGTAAGAGAGGTCGCTTCCGATAGCGGGTCTTGAGGGGGGGGGGGGGGTGTTGCTACTCGAACGAGCTCACAGGCCAAATATATCCTGGAGCTCTATTCGCACTTGAACTTCGCTACACAACTGTCTTCGACGGGGGGCCAAAATATATCCCTTCCCGGAACAGTGAGTAACTTAGAACAAGTCCTTCTTGGGTGACGGAGTCGTGCCACGTAGATCGCAAATTGAGTAGTATTTAATATAGTCCTATCCTTTTAACTCCTTTACTCTATCCTTGCCTGAAGCTCTGATTCCTTGCGTCGACTGGTCTGATCCTTGTGTTAACTGGTCAGGAGTGGCTGAACCCCGAAGGGTAGAGGTCGACCAACGAGGGACCGGGTCTACCAATGAGGGACCCAGGTCTACCGATGAGGGACCGGGTCGACCAATGATCTACCATTGAGGGGCCAGGTCGATCAATGAAGGGCCATGGTCAACTCCCTTCGGTACCGGTTAACCGGTACCCTGATATCGATTTTTCTTCTGTGGGTCCTGCGGATTGTCCTCCACCAACGGTCGCTCCCCTTCGAGGCCCCTGTCTCTCTGGTCTCCTGTCCCTGACCCACGGTCTATACTCCGAATCCAACTGTATTATGGGGCCCCCACATCGCAAAAACAGCACTTCACCACAGCTGCCCCCTGCACTTGCTCAGCCTTTCAACGGATTGAGCACGCGCATGTCTTCACTTCCTTCGTCACGTAAGTCCTTTACTGTCCCCTTTGTTGACCGTCCACCTCTAACTCATGTCACTCCAGCCATGTCTTCCCCTGGTTCTGACGATCTTGGCAATCTTCCTCCTTTGTTCTCCATTCTTCTATACACCTGACTCGTGGAAGGTCGAGTTCTCCCCGTATTTGACCCTGGTCTACCAACGAGGGGGTGGGCCGACCAATGAGGGACCAGGTCTATCAATGAGGGACCCGGTCTACCTTCCAAGGATCTTGCTATCGTCTGCTAATTTTCATGGCTTTGCATCACTTCGAAGCGGTTATGGCGTGTCTTCTTGCGCTCGAAGTCCCGGAGTAAAGCTCCGCAATTCAGATCCACTTCGTCCACCCACGAGGGGTCAGGGTGTCCCTTTCATTGCACGAGGAATTCTCGTTGTTGCCTTCCATACCGAGTCTTCTTGCCTGTACGACTCTCTAAAATTTCTTCGACTTCATACTCGCCTTCTTCCAATTCCCACACCCAGCTGTCTCTTGGTAACAGACATTCGTCGAAGTCAACTCGATCTGTTCCATCCGTTTTCAGCTCGCTGTTAGGTCGATCGGGGAACTATCTGACGGGCTTGAGCTTGGAGATGTGTACGATTGGGAATAGTCTGTATTCTGTACCTCGTAATTCCAAACTTACTGCATGACCTCCGACTAGTTCCCGGACTCATAACGGTCCGTGCCAGAGGTGGGCCAATTTCTTGGCATACCCCTCTTTCACCCGGTCTAAGTATAGCCATACCCGGGACCCTGGCTGAATTTCGTGGCCGACTATCCCTTCATTTTGCGCTTGCACCCGAGCCTGAGTAGCCGCCCGTAGGTTCTCGTTGACTTGGTCTCTTGCTCGCTGATAGTGACTCTGAATCCGATATCTCCATCTCCGAGGTCCTGAGTCTCGACGTCGAGTGTTCACCACCGGTAACATAGTCTCAAGAGTGGTCCTAGCATCCCATCCATGGACCAGATAAAACGGTGTCTCCTCCCGCACTCTGTCTTGAGCCGTGTTTAACGCGAACGTTAAATGTTCCGCGTATTCATCCCAGTCTCGCTGTCCCACGTCGGCTACATACATCTTGAGCGATCTTGTTAGAGTCTGGACCATTCTCTCCGCAGTGCCGTTCGCTTGAGGTCGGTAGGCTATGGTTGCTCTCGCACGTTGACCCACCATGCGACTGAAAGCTCGGAAGAAGTCCGACATAAACCCCAGTTCCCGATCGTGACGGATCGTCTCACTGGCGCCAAAACGGCGGAAAACGCATTCTTCATATCCCTCAGCTACTTTCTGGGCTGTCCGTGACGCACTAGCCTTAGCCATCACATAACCTGTGAACAGGTCGACCCAAGTCAGTAGTTCCGTATTTCCTTTATGCGACTTGGGGAGAGATATTATGTGGTCCATCGCGATAATTTGGAAAGGGTACGTCGCTTCAACATTCCCCGAAGACTTCACTTATAAAGTGGGCCTCCCTTTCCCAGTCTCACAATCCATGCACTGACCCACCTATATCTGGACACTTCGAAACAAACCCCTCCAATGACAATATCGTCGGATCCGATGATAGGTACGCCCGATTCCCTGATGGCCGCATTCCAAACTCGTATGATAATGATGTAGGACGTCGGCTTGGAGACTCTCAGGTATCACTAATCTGGCAGTTATGTCTCGGTCATCTCTCTTGATCCTCTGGCCCGGGCAGTACACCAGCAATCCTTCTTCACTTATCTCGCAGTCTTCCGACATTTTGCTGCAGTTTCTGGCCGATTACACTGACAAGTCTTTCCAGTCTCCATTCAAATATGCCTTCAACTCGCGTACCCTGCTCTCCTCTTCTTGCGAATCTCGGATTCTATCCATCCGAAGTTGTTGTACCACATCTTCTTGCATGACCTCTCCCGATATTTTGACGGGGAACCGTGATCTCGTCACCGCAGATACCTTGACCGACTGACCCCGGTCTCTAGGAACCAACACCTCTGGCAGCCGATTGATTGCTTCTAGACCTGGCCACTCTCCTCTTGGTATCGATTCGACCCCTTGCTGCTGATGTAAAGCCGCACTGGCCAACTGGTATGCGCTCTGATTCCAGTCTCGTTTCACATGTAAGACTGCGTGGGTGAAACTTACTCAACGCCTTGGCCCGAAACGGGGATAAAACTGAAGCCTTGCACTCAATCTCTCCACGCATCTGCCTTATAACCAAATTGGAGTCTCCACAGATAATCAAACGCCGTCGCTCCATTGGCTCCAACAGGTCAAAGCCCAGTAACATGCCCTCATATTCCGCCTCATTCACTGTAGACTTGTCGAGATATTTCGACGCAGCTTCGACTATAGTCCAAGCAGGAAGTATCCACACAATAGCGCTGCAGGCGCCTCTCCCTTGCTTCACCCGGGCTGACCCATCGAAACTCATCACATACAGTTCTTCGTTTGGTTCCACTGTGGGCGTCGGTAGGTCGACCATTTGCCTGGATTGCTTCTTGGGAGAAAAAAAATTCAAAAACTGAAAGATTAAATGAATTAAAATTTAGAAAAAAAAAAATTTTTGATATTGACGACAGAATTGAGTCTACATTTTCTCGAGGCGTAATACTGGCAGCTAATGCCCCCAGTACCTGGTCTTTGCCTTTCTTGTATTTCACAATCTTCAAAGTCCACTGGGACAAGAGAGCGGCCCAATTTCCCAAGCGACCTTGTAACCCCGAGGACTTCACTAGCCAGGCTAGTGTAGAATGCCTCGTCAGAACCTTGAGGGGTCGGGTGACCAACATCGTGAAGCAAGTCTCCAATATTCGTAACAACGCCAGCACTTCCTTTTCCACTGTGCTATAGTTCACCTCGTTTGACTTGAGGGTTCGGCTCGTAAACATTACCGGCATATACAGGCCGTCGTAACTCTTCACCAACGACGCCGAGATGGCCCAATCACTTGCGTAGACAATAATAACTGCCTCTCTAGCCGGGTCGAAATGTCGTAGGATGGGTGCCGTAGAAATTTTGTTCTTGAGCATGGCAAACGCTACTTGTACCTTCGACCATTTTTCTTCGTCGTCTTCCTGGGCCGCCACTTCATCGTTAGCCTTCAATTTGCACCTCCAAGCGTGAAAATCCACCTCTCTCAATTCATAAAGGATCGACGCGTATATGGCATAATCTTCGATGTACCTGCTGTAGTAATTCAGGCTTCCCAGAAAGGATTGCATAGCCTTCAGCGTTGTCGGTAGAGGTAGGTCGACCAAAGACTGAAGGTCCTTTGGATGGGCCTCTAGTCCTTCCTTGGAAACTCGATGTCCAAGATACTCAACCTTCCGACATCCCCACGTACTCTTGACGACGCTGACCGACAAATTCTAATAGTCACACACGTCTAGCAGCCGTTCCACTTTCTGGCATAATACGTCCCATGTTTCGGCAGGAACAAGTATATCGTCAATGTATGATCGTCTACCCAATATCGAGGGGCCCGATTTTGCATCTGGTTCCCCTGTTGCAAACAAATCCTCTGTTTCCTCTGTGTCCGCCCCTGGCGAAATCCTTAAAAATCCATATAACGCATTATCCAACAACCTTTGATATATCTGAGGTGCATTCTTAAGCTCAAAAGGCATCCGAAGCCATTCAAATAATCCCAGTGGAGTAACGAAAGCTGAGATTAGTCTCGCCCTTTCGGTCATACTGACGACCCAAAAACCACTCGCCATATCAAGAGAACAGTACCATAAAGCTCC